CATTATCATGATCTTAGACATAATAGCTAACATTTTTGAGTGCTTATCATGTGTCAGACATGTGTCAGGCAAGTTCTTTAAACATATTAGGACATCTATTTCTCCTAATGACTCTGTGTAAGTATTATTATTTTCCTCACTTCACAGGATTAAAGATTGAGACTTAGCAAGAATGAGTAACTGTCCAAAGGCTAGTCAACCAATAAATGGCACAGCCAGGATCCCAAGCCAACCTGTTTGCTCCAAAGCTCCCCTCTTGACCACCAGACTGTTTTACCATTGGGTTATTTGGTCACCAACTTAGCATGACCAGGTTTTTACAGCCCTCTACACATAATGGCTCACATGATGCAGATTCTTTCTTTAAAGTTACATTAAGATTCAATCTGAGATTTTGTTTACAATTTGGATGATGGCCAGGGATGACTTATGCAATTTTCTGTCAAATTAAATGGAGCTGGACAAAAAAGTCCACTGGAACTCACCAAGAACCACTGCTCGGGGCCTACAAGTTTGGGCATTTTCTCAGGACTGTTACTCAGAATTCCTTGAGGGAAGAAGGAATCTGGATGCAGTTTCAGCTTGAAACAGATTTGTTTGCTAATGATTGTGACCATGATAGTGTGATGAGTGAGAACTTTTTTCACTTTTCCAACCCTTGCTAATTTAAGCCCCCTTCATTACTGCCTTGGAGGGAAAATTCGAGACCTGTGCCAGAAAAAATCTGAAAAGGTGGTTCTCTGATCTTCTCACAAACAACATCTTGCACAATTTCCCCCAGACAGCATTAACAGTCTTTTCAGTCTCATAGACTGAGATATATAAGGACAAACGTAGCATAATTTATATTTGAAGCCACTCTGAAAACATAAGGTGCTTATCAGCTGAGCTAAAACTATGCCTTTTTAGCTGTGGGTGAATCATAGGCATACATTTTGAGGCTTTCTGGCCACATGATGGATTTTACCCTACGTCTGGGAGGCGAAGATGATACAAAAAATTGCACGAACAAACAACAGCAGAGGAAGGCATTAAAAAAAGACAGAAACTATGATTATAGCATGACAGGCAAAGGAGAAGTTTCTACATTTGATTAGATCCTAAGTGTCTTAGCTACATGAGAAAAGTTTCATACCACAGTGTTAAATTAATGCAGTGGAAAACAAATTAAACATGCCGATCTCAGACAAATGGGGGGCATGCCTCTGGACTTCTAGTGCCCAAATTGAGACCATCACCAGAACACCATATAGAGTCTATGGTGGTATTAGTAAGGTCATAGCTCTGAGTCACCAATGAGAAACATTCTTAATTTTAGCTAAAAGCCATTAAAATTTTACCTTCACATTCTCTTCCCTTCCATTATAAGTGTTAAGTTTTGGCTTCCTTTTTGAAACCACCTTTGGCTAGGAAACAAAGTCTTTTATCACTTCATAAAAATGACTGCATAAAAGACACCAGCAGAGAGCAACAAAGCTCTCTTGGGTTGGGACTTCTGGCAGTCAGGTAGGCTCAAATGTTGGTCTAATTGTATAAGGGATTTATATTCCTGTCTCAGCAAAATGTCAAGTTGCTATATGTCATGGATATTCAGGCTTGCTTTAGGATAGTGGAAACCAAGAATGCTAAACTGCTGAATTCCAAGTGTCCGCAGTACACAGTATGATCTCATCTATGTTATGAACTATAGACAAGACTGGAAAGAAATATAGCAAAAACATTAACACTGGTTATTTGTGGGCACTGGAGATTATTAGTGAGTTTTATTGTTTTCATCATAGGCTTTTAACTCATCAACATTTCTTAGCATTAGGCATCAGAAAAAAGCCATAAAACCATAAAAGTTGTTTTAAAAAAAAATGGGCTACATGTCAACAATCTCTTTAACTTCAAGATGAACCAATCCACCACCATGTGAGCCAGTGCATATTGTGAGTGAAATGAGTAAATGATAGTATTTAGTTCATTAGTTCAACTGTAAACATTTACTTATTATAAAGGAAATTAATGTGAACAATGAGGCTATTTTAGTAAACAGAAAAAATTGGATAACAAGGATTATGGAGAATGGTCATGACAACCAGTTTATTTCTGGTTTGTTTTGGTTTTAGATGTGCAGCACTGACAAAATTCCTATTATCCCAGAGAAGGAGTTGCTAATGGTAATGGTTTTCACACTTCACCTTGCAATCTTAGTATACTTATGTTTTCAGTTAAACAGTCATACTGAAGAACTTAATGATGTGGGCAAAAAGTAGTTACTTTGGTGGCATAACATTTTTACAATTATTACATTTTTTTTACAATTTAGCTGAATTTTAAGAAGTTAAAATTAGTTTAACATGTTTGAATATATATATATATATATATATATATATATATGAACTTTCTGTGAATTATTGTTTAAAAATACTTCAAAATGTATACAATGAAATTCAGTGAAGCAACTCTGTGGAATAATAGGTTCTGTAGGCAAGGTCTGAAAGCCATAATTTAATGTAACAAACAACCTTGTCATCTCATTTTGTAGGGTCCAGAAAAAACTGAGGTTCCAGAAAGGTAAAATAATAAACGTAGGGCTACACACTAATTATTTAGTGTACGTTTTGCTGTCCATGGTACTTCCCAGACTGGACAAGCAATAAACTTGACTATGTGAATGGGATTTTGCTTTCAAATAATATATAATAGGCTCTAAGTTCTAGTCTCATACAGGCAAAGTGAACAAATATCTCAAGGGCTAGAAAAAATAACTTTTTTGAAATTCAAAAATATCTCACTGTCAGTACTCAGAAGTCTATATTTTCTCTTTTGGGGTTTTTAATTTTAGACACAAAGGCCATAGTTTAATGTCACTGTGTTACTCTTGGTTTTATTATTAGGTAGTTAAATCTGTAGCTAGAAATCAGTTTCTTGAGGTTGTGTCTAATAGGAGGGCAGACTTATTTTATACAGTATCTTCTCTTGAACTATCACTTCTTATTTTCTCTCAGAATTTAGAAAGGCTGCTTTGATTCCAATATATGCAAATAAAGCACAATGAATTTCCCAGTGATCCTTGGAGCAGCAAATCTACATTTCCTAAAGTAGTTTCCTCTTAAATCTCTCCAACTGCTAAGTCTTAATTTTTACAGCTTAGTTTAATTACTTCTGCAATGAAAAAAGCAGCTTCCTGACATTTGTCTCTAACTTATTTTTTCTTTCCCTTCAGTTTTTTTCCTTAATAGCCACCTGTCCCAACATTTATACATGTGCTGTATTAGATGTCTTAAAATATCATAGGGCGCAGACAAAGCATAAATTTCACAAGCAAACTTCTTTCATTATAGCATGGCCATTTGCTTTTGGATAATAAGAAAATAAGCCACAAATATTACTCCAACCAAGAAGGGAGAAGCTAGGAAAAAAATTGAGTAGATTATAAACATTTTCTTAAAATTGTTAACAAAATGATTTTATTTCACAACTGTCTTCCATGGCCATCTCTTTATTAATGTTTTTTTTTTTCTCTAGTTGTGGAGATGACTCTCCCATTTCTCCTAGAAATTCATACATAAATTTTAATGACAGTGTGTAAAGACAACTGATCTGTCTGAATTAGGATAACTACGCTTTTCACACACTGGTTTTCTTCTGGTATAGATATAAGGATATATAATAAGTAGAATAATTTAAAAGTAGGGTTGAACTGCACTGGTTATAATCATCTTGGCTAAAAACGCTTCATACTCATAAAATTTCCAAAATACAAAAAGTCCAAGCAAAATTTTAACACCTCATTCAGTTTTTATACCATATCCATTTTTTAATACATAATTTTCTGGTGTAATATGACTCTAAATTAAATTAAAATTCACCTAAATTAAATAATTATAAAATATAGATTCTTTCTGTTTCTTTAATGAAAACATGTTATTCTGAGTTCAGTTTTATGAGCTAAGTATATGAAAAAGGCAATTTTGTATCACATGCAGAATTTAGAATTCATGAATATGAGATAGAGTGTAAGAAAATAAACTTTAGAAAGTTAACAGCAGAAAATACAAACTTCAAAGATAGAACAATTTTCGTGCACATTGTTCATGTAGTATTTCAACTATTTAAAAATTTTGTTTTATGTATATATGATGACTCCACAATGATATAAATAATAATATTGAGGTGCTTTTAAGAAATCCAAGGAGCTTCAGAAAGGATTTTTTATCTTTTGGTGTTCATGATTAGCTTTTTTGAAGAATTTTTTTTATATCCTCTCTCATCTGTTGAGGATAAGGAAGCTAATAAAGAGATTTACCAGGAAGTTCTGCAACTACAAAGGCAAATGTTACACCATGAACAGATTGTTGCCCTGTACTTTTATGACTACTCATCATCTGAGATATTTCATTTGTCAGTCTGATCCTTAATCCTACAGATAATTGAGGGCCAATCAAGGTTTCCAAAAAACAACACTACTAGTGCAAGTGTCAAGTGTCTCTTTAACGCTCCTAATGAAAAAGACCTGTTAAAAAAAATCTGACTATTGAAAATAAGTCCTGCTTCCTCTTTAACAAAGTAGGGTGTATTAAAATTAGAGCTGTTCTAAGACCGGTTTTGACTCTAGTTAATTAGCGTGGACCAGGGTAAAATGGGTCAGTTGCTATCCTTACGTATGGTCTACTCTGATTATGTCACTGGTCAAGTGACAAAGTTAAAATGGAAGGAAACCTGAAAACATTTTGCTACCACATTGGCCTGGACCTTGTTAAGGAGGGATACAAGTACCAGAATAAAAAGAAATCAGAAGAGAAAATAGCTCTGAAGAGTGGGCCGCAAGTGGAAACTCTGTAGACCCTGAGAGGGCATCATATAGCTTCAAGAGCATGGGGCATGGGTTCCAATTACACATGATTTGGAATGGACACTGGACAGCAACACTTATTTATTTTTAATTAAAAATTTATGAAGCTTACGGAACTCAATTTATGTTTATGATACAGAAACTAGTACATTTGACTGACCTGGCTGGACAAGGATCCAAGTTGCACTCTTGAAGTTTGGGTTTGGGTTTGATGTTCTCCGGGTAATAGTGACAATATTGATCAGCAACCACACGGCTGCTCCGAAGATCGTAACACTCAGCCGATGTCAGCTGGTAACCTGTGGTATCAAACCATCCAGGCAAGTTTAAACACACATGTCATGTTAAAGTATAATGTAATATACTTCTTTATGCTTCTTGGCCATCTCACAGTAATGAAAATTCTTCCCCAATGCTTCAGTAATTTCCAGGACAAGAGACAGAAATATGGAAGGCTCATTAAGTTTCACAGGCCTCTAATACTATTTTTCCACTCAAATTTTAATAATCAAATTTTATGTTGGGATGAGCACTGGGTGTTATGTGGAAACCAACCTGACAATAAACTATAATAAAAAAATTAAAAAAAAATCAAATTTTACTGTAAGGCTTGAACTACATAAGGGTATAGCTAGGTGATCAGATTCTGCTGTAAGTACTATTCTTATTAATTTGCTTTGTATAATCTAAAAGTGTAACACAGATATCTGTATCCAAAAGAGATGATCAGTATTTATTTGCCAACCATCTCACACAAAGATGCAAAATTGCCTCCCTTGTATCTGAAACACCAGGGAGTATAAACTCCCAAATCAATCAATCAAATAAACCCTAACACTGCTTCCTTTGATGGATGGGGGACAATGAAATACGGCACAAGCTTGGGTCATGCCAGCTGCCTGGGAACATTATTTTTGTCTAAATTCAACCTGAATAAGTTAGGCTGAGTAAATGGAGGATTAAGATCCTAATAGTAGACACTAGAAATCCCTACAAAACAATAACAACGATAATAGTACTCCCTTACTGTTCAATTGTTGCTGTACCTAAAACCTTTATCATTTCTTTTTAAATCTCTAGCCAATATTTTTTAGCATCCATGCATAAATTTCCACTGTTTAGAGAATTCTTTTTTTTAAAAAAAGCATTGCTGAGTAATTCTGAATTCCATTCATAATGTGTTTTACCTTTTCCACCTGCCTCTTTCTTGTCCTGTGGATTTCTGGTGAAGTGGTGATGAAGACTTAGATTCTTAGGGTGGAAAATAAATGTACATAGAGAATTTTTTTAACTTAGGCTTTTTTTTTAAATCATTCTAACCCTAACCAACCTCCAAAGCATATTCTCCCTGGCAGGTGGTTGAATATTGTTATTGCTAGATATATGTTAGAAAGTCAGGTTTAGAGTAGTTAAAAGACTTGCAAAAGATTTTAGGAAATCAGAAGGAGGCTTCTAAACCAGATTTCCTGGCTTGAGGCTGTGTTTTCAGACCACCCACAAAAATTAATTGTTCATTAAAGACCTAAAAATAGACCTTTTAACAATTTTACTGTAAAGATGAAAAGCATGGAAAGAAATAGGTAAGAACACATGTTCCACTAAATTTTTTATTTTATAAGAAAACCAAAGAGCAAAATCTAATTTTAAATAAGTAAATATACTTTTGTTTTGTAATTACATTATACTCTAAAGCAGATAATGCTATGATAAGCTAACCATTTTATAATTTTCCATATAATAATTTCTACTCAAGATAGGATGTGGGCACAAGCAGTAAGTATATTATACAACTGAGATCATGATTTTTAAAAATCATAGTTTATCAGCTTAAAAATGTTGCTGTGAAGCTATTCAAGAGTGTATGAAATGAAAGCTTTGAACAAAAATGAAATAAAAGACCAAAGTAGTCAGATAATTGTGCTTTTGAATGTTTCACAAGGTATTTTTAGCTGCAATTGTTTACACTTTGCAAAATGGTCAACCCATTGAATGTGGAGCCAGAAATATAAAAAGGAACTTAGCATTTCTTTAGTCATTTTCAAACTGGTCCAGGAAGGGGGAGAAGCTGGTTTCCACATAGCTCATATCTTCATTCTGAGCAATACTCCTTTTATTTGGGTTTCCAAATAAAGATACAGGAATTCCAAAGATTTCCTTTGAAGAAAGAGTTTGATAGCTCAAAACAGTTAAAGACCACTGGTGCTTCTACTTCTTCACTTAGATGTGAGAAAAATAAGGCTGAGAGGGGTTGAATATATATGAATCTAACATTAATTGCCTTATTATATAGCAAGGCATCATCAAGCTTACTGATATTACCCTCTAACAGCAGCTCTCTATATAAAATTGACATAGTGGGCATATTATAGAATTGCTACTTTGTTCAAAGCATGGTTTTCATTTAAAAAGAAAAGAGGAAAAATAATTATTTACTTGGATTTCTTTCTTTGAAACTACTTCCTGTGCTAGTCATCAATAAGTGTATCAAATAGCATTATGAAACATCACAGTAATTGGCATTTTACTTTTCTTTTTAAACTTCCTTAAAAATTTTTAACGTTTATTTATTCTTGAGAGAGAAACAGAGCATGAGAGGGGAAGGGGCCAGAGAGAGAGGGTGGCACAGAATTTGAAGTAGGCTCCAGGCTCTGAGCTGTCAGCACAGAGGCTGATGGGCTCAAACTCACAGACCGCGAGATCATGACCTGAGCCAAAGTTGGATGCTTAACCATCTGAGCCACCCAGGTGCCCCAGCATTTTACCTTTAAACAAAGTAATTTTCTCTTCAGAACAGAGAGAGCAAATGGAAACACTATTTTGCTGAAATGCTGAGAAGCTTAAATTAATAGTTATTTAACAACCAAGTAAAAGCACTTGAAGGTATTTGTGACTCACTGCCTTTAGGCTAAAATCTAACACTGTTCTATAGGGGCCTGATTTTTGGTGATTTGTTCATGCAGATGAAGATGAATTATTTCATATGTTCTCACTGAAAACATTAGTAGATAATAATTTGTTTCCATTCTGAGGTATCGTCTTTTTTCTTGTTAAAATAATCTAGTGATACCCATGTAGATTAGCTACTTACTACCAGCCAACTAACAGGCTTCCTTGAAGGTGGAGCCAGAATTTATTTGATGTGCTACTTCTTAAAGGAATATACATACAATTTTATGCTCATTAAATCAGCAAAATTAAACAATTTCTTATAATCCACAAATACTGGCTCAGTTGGCAATGAAACTAAAATATTCATACGCTGCTTATTACCATTCTGGAAAGAATTTTGGTAATATATGCCAATAGCCACAAAAATTCTGAAACTTACTCTTGAGAATTTATTCCAAGGAAATAATTTAAAAGGAGAAAAGGAGAAAGATACTTGGCTATTAAGTTATTCATTACATTATAATAGAAAAGTTGAAGTGAACTAAATCTTCTATAAGGATATGGCTAAATAAGTCATTATAAAATAATTTGAAGCAATTATGATGTAACTGTTATAATTGTAAAGGAAAATGGGAGAAAATATCTTCTCCAGTAACACAAAATGCTGTCCATATTGCGGATGTGATAGAGCAAAGATTCATTCGATGACTTTTCAGGGAAGATGATGGGATAGAGCTTAACAATAACTGAGTCTAAGTCTACAGTACAGTAATTTTTTTTCCTGGTAATAAACTATTCCCTTTAATTAAATTAATCTCTGGTTCTTTCTGAACACATTATGCTACACAGTAGGCCTGACAAACACCCTTCACTAGACTCAAGAATAAATAAGTTCTCTTCAACTAGGTGAGTAGTTTATTCTCAAATGAACAGAATAGACTTGAGACCATTTCCACTAATGGGACTCTACAGACAAAATGTTCATGGGGCATCTAGATGGAGGGATCCACCTTACAGGATTTGGCTCCACTAAAAATAAAGAATCTAAGGGGAAGATGGGTGATGGGCATGGAGGAGGGCATGTGTTGAGATGAGCACTGGGTGTTATATGGAAACCAACTTGACAATAAACTATACTAAAATAAATAAGTAAAGAATCTAGCCCATTATAGCACTAAATGTCTTCCACATTGAAGTGGCTACTTTTATAACAGCTAAGTCTTCCCTCATAGAAGCCAATAGTTCCCAGTCTAAGTGAACACCATTACCTCCTCCACAGGTTGCTGAGCAAGGAAAGAAATCTGTCTCCCTCCATCGGTGGATGATAGGCTGATAGAAGATGAACTGGACTGTGCTGTCAGCTGGCCCCGAGTTGTGGATCTGCAGGAGACAATAGCAAAGAGAGAAACTAGTATGACAAAGAGGTGCTTTCTTGATTCCTTGCAGCTCTAGACAAGAATGTGTAGTAACACAGATGGTGTTAGGCTGCATTGGGAGAGAAGTGGCTATAGCGATATCATCAATCCCACCAATCAACCATACGCCATCACTACCATCACTTTCTTAGTTCTTTTGCCACAGAACAAGGGGTAGCAATGTCTCAACTTGTGATTCTAGTACGATCTTTTCCCAAGCCACTTATTCCCTTTCCCTCCTTTACTTCCAACTTTTCTGGTGTAACAGAAAAAATTACGGCTATTTTTTATTTTTATGTATGTATATGTGTGAATTTATAATGTAGGTTCAGAAATAGAAAATTTGTTCTGAGAAAATTATAAATGCCATACACTGCAAAAAAAAATGAGATACTATCCTTGGTTAAGAAAAAAACATTAGGGGCACTTGGGTGACTCAGTTGGTTAAGCATCCAACTTCAGCTCAGGTCATGATCTCATGGTTTGTGAGTTCAAGCCCCACACCAGGCTTTCTGCTGTAAGCACAGGGCCTGCGTCAGATCATCTGTCCTCTCTCTCTCTGCTCCCCCTGCCACCTCTCTGTCATTCTCAAAAATAAATAAACATTTAAAAAATTTAAAAAAGAAAAGAAAAAAATTAAAGAATTAAATGGCTCTGCCCACCCAGAGACATACACGGTGTTTCCTGGCAATTTATACTCATACATTTTCATGTGCAGAATTACCAGTTGGAAGCTTACTAAAATGCTAATTCCTAAGCTCTTGTCCAGAGATCCAGGCAATGCAAACATTGATAGTCCAAGTACCAAACTTTAAAAAACACCAACTTCGATTATAAAAGCATTTACTTTGAATACAACAAGTGCTCATGGAAATGACAACTCCTTTGTTTTTCAAAGGGGGAAGCGAAGCGATAATTCTTTAATAGTTCTTAAAAGTATAAGGTTGAGAAAACATACTTAAACTGAAGGAGCGATGCCTTGATTTCATGAAGACATAATAATGTATCATATAACATTGAGACAGTTGGGCAAGGCTTGGGCTATTTGTTAAAATAAAGCAAGTTCAACGGACAAAGAGGGCCACCTCTTACTTCAAGACAGTAGAGGAGCACATCAGGTGCTCTAAGTCTTTGTTACTGTTTTCAAGTTTTACTGAGGTCCCAGTTGCCCTTTACCTTGGATAAATTGATGGATTTAGCCTTCAGATTTTTATTTTTTTAAAATTTTTAATGTTTTATTTATTTCTGAGAGAGAGAAAGAGAGAGAGAGAGAGATAGCGTGAGCAGGGGAGGGTCAGAGAGAGAGGGAGATACAGAATCTCAAACAGGCTCCAGGCTCTGAGCTGGCTGTGAGCACAGAGCCCAATGCGGGGCTTGAACCCACAAACCTCTAGATCATGACCTGAGCCGAAGTTGGACACTTAACCGACTGAGCCACCCAGGCACCCCAGCCTTCAAATTTTTAAGAAAGACAGCCTATTTTTCCACTACTGAGTTGAACACTGGATTAAACATCTAGGAACACTGAAAAAACAGGGAGTAGGTGTTAACCCCCTGGACCAGTTTTTGGACTTCAGATGGAAATATTGGACATGTTCTTTGGATAATCTGCAAGAGCTGGAAAGGAGAAAGAAGAAAGGGAGAAAACTACAGAATATTTCATTTTATGCTGGAATTCCGACCCATGGAACATCGGAGTCTTTCCTAATTAGAATAAGCAGTGATACAATTCCCTACTTTAAAGCAAAAACAGCTGAAGCAATACAGTGTCTTTCACAAAAGGGAAGCATGGCTTACAAATTAATATTTTTCAATCCTATGTGTCAGATACAGGATACCTAACTGCTTGCTTGGGGATGTAGTATTAATCACTTTGGAGAGCTTTTTTTTTTTTGGTTGTTTTTTTGTTTTCAGCTCACAAAAGACTAGAGCTCTCTTGGGATGTGTGGTTTCCATGGTGGGAAGGTACTAAAAGAGGACTCTCATTTGAACACCAGCTCTGTGAAAAAATAAAGACCAGAAGATTTATTTAGGCTTAGAGAGATGGATTGTTTTGCAGAGGTCTCTTTTGGGATGCTTGAAATTAAACGAAATCCTAGGAAAGTGGAGGAAAAAACAAACATGAGGGGGATATAACATCAAAATCCTTAGAGAAACTGTGTTCTAGAAAATCTGTACAGCGTCTGGGCTCAGTTTTTGATCTGGTTAGAAATGCAAAAAGATGGAATAGGTAAAAATTTCAGCTTTCTAAAAGTTATCAGTGAAAGTACCTTATGCCCTGAGAGTAAGGAATGAATGTGAAGATGTTTTGGTGTTAAGAGGGAGGGTTAGTGAAGACTACGTTGAAGTAAAGAAAACAAGAAAAGTGGAAAGAATATTGCTCCTAATGGGTCCCATGAAATTGATGTACAATAAGCATGAATGCTGAAAATGCATGCCTAATTTTAAAAAGAGATTGGAAGTGAACAGAGATGCTGTTATTTCAAACGGATAAAACCAATCATGTATCCAGACCTCTCACCACATAATCTGAATGATTCCTTCCACATCAATAATGTTCCTGGTTCTCTCTTACCTATAGGAACCTTCTTCTTTTAATAACAGCCAACAACTGGGGCTGCTGGGTGGCTCAGTTGGTTAAGGGTCCGACTTTGGTTCAGGTCATGATCTCACGTGGTTTGAGCTCCATGTCGACCTGTGTGCTGACAGCGCAGAGCCCGAAGCCTGCTTCGAGTTCTGAGTTCTGTTTCCCTCTCTCTCTCTCTGCCTCTTGCCCTGCCCCTGCTCACACTCTGTCTCTCTCTCTCAAAAATAAATAAACATTAAATAAATTTTTTTAAATAACAGTCAAGAACTACCACAGCAACCAGCACTTATTACATTCCTACCTAATGCAAGGTACATTTTATTTGTATGAAGTCTAATCTTAGAACTACTCATATTATCTTCTACATTTACGTTATAATGAGACATATGAGTTTCAGAGAGATGAAGTGGTTTACTCAAGGCTACACAGGTATGGCATAGCAGAGCTGGGATGTGAATTCATGTGTGCCTCGGCTTGAAAGCTGCCATTCCCTTCATGGTACAAAGCAAATTTGTTAGTTAATGTTAGTGTTGTAAAGATATAGGTATTTATTTTTAGTGGTGTCTTTGTATTGCTCTTCTCAGTATCTTCTTAATTTTTCATTTTAAAGTAGGAAAAATATAGTTAAAATAAAAAGAAGAGGCTAACCTGATGTCTAACTTTGATGGACGAATTGTTTCTTATATAAATGAGCTGCCATGTTCCTTTTTTCTGGTTTTATTAATTCTGGGCATCTGCGACCTTTGTTATCATTAGCTCTGGAGCTTTACAGACCCTAAATCCTCAGACATCAGGTTCTTGTTCTCAAGAGTATGTTGAAAGCTTCAGTTTGACACATTAGGATTTTGTTTTAGGGAGCTAAACACATCTGGCATATGTAATTTTGGCCTCCTTAAGTTAATAAGGAAAAAGAATGTTCTGAACCAAGCTTTTCTTCCTATAATTACAATGATTCAGTGTTTCTAATTTAAGGACTTCTCATACTGAAAGGAAAGGAGAAGACAAAAACTGGTCACCTTCCATAGCAACTGACTGCACTGTCATGAAAAAGCCACAAGGCAGGACACGTGTGTGGGGGTAATGGATGAACACAGGTCCATGTAAAATCAAGGATACATTTCAAACACATGAAAGACATCATCAAGTACACAAAGGATCCCTCAGTTGATGCACTATGAAATGCCACATCTTTTTCTTCTCTGTTGGTTAAAGGGTAATTTATGAGTCTTTGCTGTTCCCTTCCTATGTTCTTTTCTCTCAATGATGTTGTAGAAAGGTATGCCTCAGATGAGCCGGCAAGGGGTTGGTCGTCAGGAGTCTCCCTATCCTCCTTGGCTGCTGAATTATTCACAAGATTATGCTCAAGACTGTTCAAAAACATATTAGGTCATTGTTTCTGCCTAATACTCTTAACTAATGCAAATAGAAATCACAACTTTTCTACCGCTTTGGTGGCTTAGGTACTCCTCACTTTTCTGTATCACATTCTTCCAAAATTTCTAAAATGGGTACAAACTGAGCAGGTACAGCCACACCTTAGCTGTGTTCCCAAATAGAGCTGAGTTGGAAGTTCTAATGAAGGATGTACCCATGACTGCAAAAGACGCTCTTCTGTCATTTTCTCTCTTTGGGGCTGCAGTTTCAGAAGGATGTGCATGGCATGATCAGGAAGAAATACAAAGGCCCAAACAAAGACAGTGGCAGCAAGGATGGAGATGAAAGAATAGTCTTGGGATGGTATGAAGGTGGAACTGACGAAGAGTGATGTCTAGCTAGGGGCATATAGGAGAAGGGGAAATCAGTGCAAGTCAAAGTTTTCTGATGTGTCTGGGTAAAGAGCATATTATTCCACAAGATAAGAAATAAAGAAGATTAGGAAGGTTTCTTCTAAGGAAGATTAGATTAGGGCTAGACAAGTCCTGTTCTGGCTATCCAGCTGTGTTGGTTGTGTCAATGGGAGATCCAAGCAGTGATATGAAAAAGGAAGCTAGATATATGATGTGCATCAGCAATACTCTGAACTACTGGGATGTGAATAATATTATTCACATATTATTATCACTATTATTATTATTAGCTGTTATTGAATCCAATTCTATATTTTTAGTATGTATTTTAACTCTTACAAGGCCACCAGGGAAATTAATATAAATGGCGTATTCAACAGCACTCTATGGGTTTCAAAAAATAAAGACATCTTTCAACATTGTACTGTATTTGCACATTTAAATGGAATGATTTAACTATCAACATCATTTCTATTGTGAACTATCTCTGTTGGTTTCTAGCTTCTGGTTCACATGAATGGAGCTGGCATCTGGACTGGATTAAACAGAGCTACCACGCAGATGGGACAGAGAACAGTGCTCTGGAACCCTTCTTCCATCCAACCTCACTGTCTATCACATTTTCCTATATGCATTCTTACTTCCAGGTGCCACAGGGTCATCAAGCCTTAGCTTAAATCAAATGTCCTCTGGCTCCAGGTCCCATGATGAAAAATTTATGGAGTCCTGGACACATTACAAGTTTTACAGCTTTACAGCTGAAATCCTTCAGGTCCTTCTGACCTACTGAAAGAAAAAATATGTTTTATTTTATTGTGATTCCCCAACATTCTTCTAGTGTGTACATTTCTCCTACAGAATGTATATGTTGCTTCCAGCAATGTGTTTTATATTACCTTGAAGAGTAGGGAAGCTCTGATAGAAGGAAACATCTTGGGTTTTTTTTGCCAGTACAAGAGAAAACAGAACTTGTAATTGGAGGTATGACCAAGTGTTTGGATCATTAGTTTGTCTTTCTCTTTGAGAATATTTTACAAGTCAACAACTATATCCTAATTTGTTTTAAAAACACTTTATAGCCTCCAACTAATGATGTGTTGGTCTTTGGGTCTTTTTATTAAAAGATAACCATATATACACACCTAAGAATGTCCTTAAGTCTTGAAAAATATATGTTCTTGAAAAGTTGATGTACCTCAACATCCTTGAATTAAACATTTCCTGGGCGATAGGATTCCCAAATCGATGCCCAAACCCAAATTCTCTCTCTCTCTTCAGGAGATTATAAATAACACTTTGGATATGATTTCAAACACTAAAGTCACTTACCTTAACAATGAAATCTGCTGTGAGTGGTCCAGTCATTCTTAGAATCTCTTTGTCTGGAAATTTCTGGAAGTCCACACTAGAATTATCCACAAGAAAGGTGCCTGTCGAGCTGAGACTGTTTTCACCTTTAGCCCCCTGCAGGGTTTTGGTTTCCAGATCTACATAATCAAACAGATTTGAAGAAAAGAAAGAAGTTCCCAGGGCTACCATATGCAAGCACATCTCATAAAACAGTCTACAGCTATGAAAGGAGAACTATTCCCCTTTATATGGCTGACACAGTCGACATTGTGATATAAACAAAGTTTATGGGCACCTCTAGATCACAGATGAGTTTATGTTGCAAATGAAATCATTTTAAAACTCATTGGCCAGGCATTCAAGGCTTTCTATCAAAAGATCTTTGACTCCCTGGATGACCTCATTTGGGTACTCCACTTTATCACAATCCTATTCCTTTCATTAAACCAACTCCCATACATAGCTTACTGATTCTGGTCTCTATGGCTCTCTGTCTAGAATACCCTCCAGTTTTCTTTTTCATATGTGAGATCGAGGGTACTCTCCGAGTTCCCCTCAGCATCTGTGTGACTTTATATTCACACATTACATTGTGTTTATTTGTACCATCTGGTTTCTTATCACATGTGTGCTGTTGTGCACGATGAAGAAACTATAGTAATGAGGATGAGGAAGTCCCATTCTTTTTCGTTCTTTCTCTTTTTATAATCCTGTTTAGTACCTAATATAGCATTATGCACATATATAATATTTTAAGTGCTTAAGAGGGAAAGGGGAACTTCTTGATTCCTGGAGAATTCCAAACTGAATTTGGCCAATGATAAAGCCTATGAAACATCTTTGGTTGTAGGAAATCAGAGCAAGCTGAGGATTATGGTAATTATGCTGTGTATTTCAGGGCGATTAAATTCTCAAGTGATTGAAAAATGACTTAGAATAACTTTCCACTCTATGAAGAGAGACAGACTAAGTCTAATGGTTTCTAAAACTTGCATAAGAGCCCTTGGTTTTGGCAGAGGTTCTTTGGCAGGAGGATAGAGTGCCAGGTGAGGGTCTGGGTCTCCTACCCCACATTCAACAAGAATGACTCCCTTTTACCATGTTTTACAGATTGGGGTTCTGGGACAATTTTAGCATCTCTGGAGGTATTGATGTACCTATACTAAATCATTATAAGTGTTGTCTACTTCAGGCTGGAATAACAACAGGTGAAGAATGTTGGAGTCCAATGAAATGCTCACGACCCTCAGATGAAGTCTTTGTAGCCCTTTGATTGGAGTAGGTTAGGCTCCATCCCCCTGCCCCAGAGGAGAGAGAGGCCCTCACATAAGGCACATCAAAGGAGAACTGGAGGGGAAACCACAGCTGTTGTCATCAGAGGAAAGCCAACAGCATGAGATCTCTTTCTTCTAGTCTTCATTCCTTAAGCTGCCTTACATGTATGTGCACTAATTTGTAGAAATATCTTCAAGACAGAAACCAAATTAGTTTTGGAAAGATCCTAGGGGTCCAAACCTGATTTGAACATCTGATTTAATTTCCTCACCAGGCCTCCCAGCTGTACTTCTCAAGGTACTTCTGATTAAAGATAAGCTGCGGCTCAACCCAACTGCCTCGTCTTGTTCTGAATTGGCCCTAAAGATTTAAGGTTGGTCCTATATTAAGACCAGTTTCTGGGAGTTAAGTGCAAAGGGTTGCAAAAGAAACATGAGGTCATTTATTCATATATTCATTTTGCATTATATTATATACCAAACAAATACATACCAGATACCAAAACAAAACAACAAGTTCCTAAGGTATGTATATGCTGTCAACACTATGTCTGTTGGGTCATAAAAGCCAATTCCATTTTTCTTTACATCATTTATAAATATCATCTGTAGCTTTACCTATTGAATTTTTAGGATAATTAAACCAAACAAGGCTAATTATTTAGCTTCTTAGTGATCACATAATCAGGAAAACTGGGAGGTTAATACATTCTTAAAAAATGAATTTCTTCTTAAATATATTCTTTTGGGTTCTTTCTTCTGCATTGAGGAGTCAGTCTCCCACTTGGTGATGATCTCTGCCTGGATGTTTTATTCTGAGCAGGCCTGTCACTGCTCAGAAAAATACTATTTTTGAGTGGGGTTGTTACATGAGCAGTTACCTCTGTCCAATTCTCCAGGGGAAAAGCAAATCATTTGAATGGTGATAGTGTACACACATATATCATCCCTTGACATGTGAATACTATATTTTTTGGGGTTGTTCAGGGTTAGAAAAAAAACTTGGATCCATATAAGGTGACTTATCAGCATCTTTTGGCTTTGCCTGAACTGTACCTTACTTATTCCTTTCCTTCACATGACCCCTCAAATCCTGCCTCTCCCATGAAATGTATTTATTTTTATTTTTAGAAAGACTATAGTAGACTCTCTGAACTTTCACAGGCTCCAATTTATCTTCCTCTTGTTTGTCTTTCTGGAATGATTTCATTTATAACCCAATTGCCAAAAGATAATGCTTGCTACCTAAATTGGTTTCATAGGCATGTGTGTGGGAGGGGAGAAAGAACAGAAGATGATAGATGGTTCTTAAGGAATCCAGGGATAGTCACAGTGGAGATCAGAAATGCTCACAGGACCAGCTGAGGTGAAGTCTTTCAGTAAAAGTGAATTTTGTAGAAAATATAACTTTTATACGCCCTCCCTGTTACTATTCTGCTAGTAATTTTAGGTCTATTTTTAAATAATACTAAATGCTAATAACAAAAAAGAAAAGATACGAATATGTACTCCTGCCTTGCCATCACTGAATATCAGTTCTTTCTAAATTCTAGTGGAGCCATCCTACCTCTTGATCTTTAGGGTTTTGATTACCCTTCCATCCTGAATCCCAATAGCTATCTTTAATATATAAAGGCTTTGTATTGTCTTCAATACATGGGATGTTTAGTTATACCACAATGCTTTTCTTTAAATGCCCCAGGGCTAAGGTTGTTTGATGCTTCTATGTTCCCCTGAACTGATAAGGTAATGGAACATGAGAAAAGAAAGGAAGGCAGGAAGGCAGGAAGGCAGGAAGGCAGGAAGACAGGAAGGAAGGAAAAGGAAAGAATGGAAGGAAGAAAAGGAACGAATGTAGGAGAGGGAGGGAAGGCTGGAAAGAAGTGGTAAAAAGCAAGGCAAGAAAAAGAGATTGATTGGAGAGGAAGAAGAGAATGAGAAATAATATGCACAAAAACATAAACATGAGCTTAACTCATGAACAACCTACTGGGAGCATCTATTTTGTGTTTTTCAGGATGGCTGTGGTCAGAGATAATTACCCTGAGGTTTCTGCTATCTCCTCAGGCAGCCAAAAGATAAACAGAAGCACTCAGAATATCATATTATGATAGAGTAGGAAGATTTGCACTTCTGTATTTTAATCTCTTCTGGGAACAAAAAATAATAATGACTAAAATATCAATACCCAAAGGAAAGCAACTGAGTTTACTTACACAAGTGATCAGGTCCTTTTAAGACAAGGCGAATATGTCTACTTCCATAGGGAATAGCAACCACAGTATCATCAACTAGAGAGAAACAAAGCAATATCTTTAAAGCACATAATTTGATGCACAATGATTGATTGGCTCCTATATAAAGGCACTGACTTATGTACTCCTCAAAATGACAAGTTTTTAAGTGCTTGAGATATGAACACCAATATTTGGGAATGAAAATTTCCATTTTCTTCAAAATAAAATACGCCAATGAAGTTGGTTACTAGATAACTTAAGGTGGATATGGCCTTAATATATTTGATAGATTGAGAAATGAATTTGTAAGTTTTCATTTCTAATTTTATAACCTAGTTTTACATTGCCAAATTTCTCCAATGTCTTTGGACATTACAAAATGAAAATAAATTCTAATGTCCAAAGAATGACTTTATTATATCAAAACCTGGATTTCTTTCTAGCAAAGCAATGATCTTGGATTAGTAGGACACATATGAATAGGAGAAAATATATTTGTTTGCATTTGTTAAATACCTTTGGGAAGAAATCATGCCTTCTGTTTCTTTAATATCCTTCACGCTATCTACAGCTATATATACTATATATAGCGAGTGTCTCGGAAATGGTTATGAACCTTCCCCCCACATACTCTCTCTCTGAAAGTTAAAAAAGAATTTTTTTTTTGCTAAATCACAGATAATTTAGAAATGGATCACTTTCACTCTATCTGTAAATTGAGCCTCAATTCATTGGAAGCAGTCCCCAAATCTACATTTTTTTTAAAAAAAAAAAACTAAAGGTATATTACATGCACTGCAAACGCACCACAGACATTCTTGCTTGTGACATTTGTGACAACAATACCTCACATTTTCATGCCACTGAAGAGTTTCACTTACACCTAAATTATACTATTTACACCTTCACCTAAAATTTGGAACATAGGCAAAGGGGATGCTACCATCCCCATTTTATGATGAAGAAATGAAGTCTCTGAGAACTATAATGAGTAGCCCATGGTGAAAAAATAGGAGAGCGTTCCAGAAGACAAGGGGGAAAGTAGGTATTTTTAAATTCACCAGCATATTCAGAAGCTCTGTGGGATTCTCTGTTACACATGTATTTTTCTAATATTAAATATTATCATACTCTTTGGAAAAATTTAGTTTCAATAAGAGTTATATGAAAAGGTACCATTTTTCTGAAACTTAACGTCATCTTGTCTTTAAGAGAATTTGATTTCAGTAAATGATCTCAGAAGTTTTCTAATTTCTCTGATTCTTAGTTTCCTCATTTGTAAAACAGGAAAAATGACACTTCCCTTACAATATTATTGTGAAAAGATATTGATATTGATATCAATATATAGCATGGAACACAGGAGGCATTTTATAAATATTACTTTCCTTCTTCTATTCCAAATCTCCTTAAGAACAGGAACTGAGAGACTGTTTATTTTTACTATGTTTTTAAGCCCTCCAAGGTCCCAGCACATAGCTAGTTGAATGAGAATGACGAATCATGTGCTCTCAATTCTTTTCCTAAAGAGGTTACATTTATCAAGCCCTCTACCATATTGAACATTCTACTCACACTGCAACCTTCTAGCTGTTTTTAATGTCATACATTGTTGAAGAAAAGGCTGAATTTCAGATAGCCAAGGGTTTGTGGCATATAAGAAAAAGAAAACACGTAAGGGGAATATAGAAAAGGAACAAAAAATGTTCAGTCTGGGCCCATAGAGCTTTAAATGCCTTGCATAAAGACATGGATTTTTAAGTTTACAAAAGAAACTCAAAGCAGTTAAAACAATGCGATTTCTGGAAATAGAAAGGCTTTGTTTATCCACAGGTCAAATAAAGTGCAAGTAAAAGCGAAGCTTTCTGTTCGTCCCTGCAATGCTCAGCGGCAGTCTTCTGACCTACACACAACTCAGGCGGCCTCCCTCTTGTTCTGCTGAGAAGCGACTCACATTCCACATGCTGGGGCATTAACCCCAGCTTCTGGCTGATACGTTAACTTTTGTATGCTCCCCAAGGAAAAAGGGGAGAAACCCAGAGGGTTGTTGGGGGAAGAGGCTATGATGGAGACTGCACTTGCCTCGTCAAAGAGAACTAGAGAGCAACTCAAGCTGGCACAAACTTGAGAGTCAGCAGCACATGATACAAGAGGTATGAAGAGTCACACATAGTCTATTCTTCTTTGGTTCTGTAAAGGGCTGATGGACACCCGAAAGCTCATCAGGCAATGAAATAAATTCATTATTTATTCCACAAGTATTTTTTCAGTGTCTCCTAGTGTCAGGCCCCATGCTAGGTACCAGAGATTCAGTGAGAAAAAGGTAAGCAAAGCAGCAGCCCCACAAAATGGTCCCAGAAGGAGGGACCTGAGACAAAATCTGGAAAGCTGCCACATGCTATACCCTGTTCATGGAAATTCACAAAGCACATGGATTTCTTAGAAGCCCTGAACCAAAGAACCTCATTTTGTTCTATTTAATCCAGTGTGTCCCCACAGTGTTTACCCAGGGAAGTTTTTATATTTATTATCTATTAACACTGGTTGATACATCTCAAAATATAATTTAAGAAATGGTGATCTTAATTTGACAAAAGATAGGAAAAAAATTAATTGCATATTTTGCATGTTGATACAAAGCCACTCTTTGAGTTGTATATCTATTAGTAATAGTCTTGTTGAAGGATAAATTCACAATGATTTGGGTTTAGGGAATTCTTCTATTTGGCATCTATTACAGTACTGAGCACAGAGTGGTGTTTAAGATATTTGTCTGGCTTCATCACCTCCCTACCCAGTGTTCAATTCATTAGGTTTGGCTGGTGAGGCAAGTGGCTACATCCTCTCTCACTGTGATTCACATTCATCTGGGTGCCCTCTTCTACAAAAGCACACTGCTCTATGATCAAGTGCATCTTCCCTAATCTATTCTGGCTTTGTTGACAAAACTATGATGCTAATCTTTAGGACATATTTCTAGGTTATTAATCAGCAGTTCTAGAAGACCTACTTCAGAGATCAGATAACCTCTTTCTCAATTAAACTGCTAAGCTTTCCCTGGAAATCATAAATGCTGTCATTTCACAACTATGGGCTGCAAACGCCCTTTCTCAAGAAAATTGTTCTCAAAGACTGTACCTAAAACATTTCCTCAAAAATCATAGCTATATGTGTATTCCACATCTTCTGTAGAGTATTTTTGATTTGTTTTTTCAATCTTATCATATGTGGATTTTTCTCTGTGATTCATTGCTGTATCAGAGAAAGCTGATAATGATAATTTTTGAAGAGGCAGAGCTTCCTATTCTGATATTTGAATTTGCCTTATTTTTAGACCTGTTGATATATCTATGTTTTTAAAGAGTTTTCCCTGTAAGTTTATGTGACTGGTCATTTTTTTTTTTTTTTAACAAAAGAGTCATTGTTAAAGCAGTTGGCTACCTATAGAAATTGTATCTATAGTAGTAGCCTTCCAATCTTAAGGAAGTTTTAATAGTATATATTTTTTTATCTTCATGCCAACTTTATTACTCTTAAAATATAGCCAATAAAATAAGTGAAGCTGAGCATTTAAGCCTTTCAAAATTCCCCCCTGAGGTTATCAGTAATTACACAATGGAAGACACAGAGCCAGCACAGGAAACAAGATGCGTCCTGCTGGACTGTTGGGAATTTCATCCTTGCAGTTGCCTAGGCCAAAATCTTTGGAGCCATCCTTGACTTCATATTTTATCTAATCAATTAGAAAGTCCTATTGCCCTAAGAGTCAAAATACCATATTTCATTGATTCTAAGAAGAACAGCCTTCCACATCTTAATATATGTGAAATCAGAATCCATCCCATGATCAACAGTGCATTATTTTCTTTCTCATAGAGGCAGTATTCCTGCCTTAGTTACCTTTGCCTGCACAGTTGCTAATACCAAAACAATCAGTAGCAAACTTGCAAAAAAGGGTGTCAGCAGCTTGGAAGAAGATTTTAAGATAATAGTGGAACACACTTAGTTTTTTGGAACTAAACAGTTATGGGATTTGTAGGGAGATGAGGAATCAGAAGTACTTAATAACACTGCCAGAGTGCAGTCAAAAGCCAGAAAGCTCTACACAATTACAAACCTGAATTAAGAACCCAGCATTAAAACTTCTGGTTACTGGGTGCCTGGCTGGCTCAGTTGCTGAGCATCTGACTTCAGCTCAGGTCATGATCTCATGGTTCATGAGTTTGAGTTTCACATCAGGTGAGCATAAGCCTCCTTTTGGGTGAGCCCCAAACCCCCCCCCCCTTTCTCAAAAAAAAAAAAAAAAAAAGACTTCTGATTCCTGACAAGATTGAATAACAGCACCCAAACTTAATTTTCTGCCTGGAAACAACCAAAAAGTCAGAAAACAATATAAAACTGTGGTTTTCAAGACACTGGATATCAGGTAAATAAAGGCAGCAATCCCTGAGAATCAGGAAACAAGATAGGTGAGCCTTGACATTACTCCAGCTTACTGCTTTGAAAGACTTTCCAGGCTGCCGCTCAGGAGATGGGAATTCCATACCCGAGGATTCCCTGAGCTTAGGAGACAAAGCTGAGAATCAAAAAAGATCAGTGGCTAGAGTCTGAATGACAGATTATCAGAGAGAAAAGAGTGACACAGAGACAATTCTGGAGATTTAAGAGCATTCTCCCATCATGCTGTATACCTCAAACTTGTACAATGATATATGTCAATCATTTCTCAATAAAACTGGGAAAAATATTTACATGTCATACTAATGATATATAATATTATATACTTAAAAATAGTGTCTTCGGATAACCAGCAGCATAACCATGCTAATCAGGACATGGGTATAATAAACTACCTGAGGCTGGGGAAAAAACAGAACAAAAGATTCATAGAGATGAGTATCTGGCATGTATATAGGGCTGGGAATAGTATCTTGTCCCACTAGCCAGGCTAGAAAACTTTATAATTCATGGGCCACTGGACATTCAAAAGGTCTTGCTTTAGTAGCAAGGGACTATTAGCACTAATCAAACATGGCTTGGTCTTGCCAACCAAA